CAGTTCCCTGGGTTTTCTTTGGATCTCATATACATCTCCAACTTGGTGCTGGAGGAGCCAGCAAGCCAGAAAAATTAATAGGCACAGACAGAGACACACAGAACAAGAGCCTGCTTTCTCTAGCCAAAGGAGCAGGAAAGGGGAGCATAGCAAAGTAAAACTTTTAGACAAAATCGTTCTACTTCAGTCAAACAAGGCAGAAAAGACTATAGCCATCCCCCCTCCACCATCATGCCAGCAAAGGCTAATGGAGATCCCAGACTTCCACCACTGCCAGCCTGTAATGAGGTAAACCAACCTTCTCACCAGGGTGATATGAGAAAGAAGGCTGAGAAGTAATGAGGATCCCTTTCCTTCTGCAGAGTCAGTGGAGGCCACATGGGGTAGCCTGGAGTTCCACATCCATCCTACATTAATAAGGTGTATCTCTACCTCCCTGACAGAGTGGTTTCAGAGGAGCCTACTGGAGAATAAGAGCTTTCACAACTGCCCAGTGGTAATGAGGCCATCCCCCCATAATGTCAGTAGAGGCTGGGTGGGGAGCAGTAAGCAGACATTGTAAGTCTAGATGCTCCTTGACTGCTATGCTTTGAAAGTGTCCCTCAGGGCCGAGCCCGTGGCGCACTCGGGAGAGTGCAGCGCTGGGAGTGCAGCAGCGCTCCCGCCGCGGGTTTGGATCCTATATAGGGATGACCGGTTTGCTCACAGCGCTCACTAGCTGAGCGCGGTGTGGCCGGTCTCAAAAAGGACAAAAAAAAAAAAAAAAAGAAGAAAGTGTCCCTCAAAAGTTCATGTGTTGGAAACTTAATCCCTCTGCCCTCATGAATTGATTAATGGATTAATGAGAGCTCTACCCTCAGGATTGGACTGATATTGCTATCACGAGAGTAGGTTCATTGTGTGAGAGGCTTTGTTATAAAAGCAAGTTCTCCCTGGCTCTCTTGCTCTTGCTCTCTCACCATGGGATGCTATCAGCCATGTTATGACACAGCAAGAAAGCCCTCCCCAGATGCTGACACCAGGCCCTTGGACTTCCCAGCCTCCAGAACTTGAGCTACATAAACTTCTATTGCTTATAAATTACTCAGTCTGTGGTATTCAGTTGTAGCAACAGAAAACAGACTAAGACATCAATTTATGATGGGGTTACAGCCCGATAAACACATTGTAAAGTCAAAAAATTTAAGTTGAACCACTGTAATTCGGGTATTATATTAGTCCATTTTATGTTGCTTATTACAGAGTACCTGAGACTGGGTAACTTACAAGAAAACAAAATTTATTTCTTATAGTTTTGGAGGCTGGGAAGTCCAAGGTCACATCTGGTGAGGGCCTTCTTTTTGGCGGGGACCTTCTATCAAGTCTTGAGGCAGCACAGGGCATTAGATGGCAAGGTCGTCAACAGCCAAGTGTTAACACAGTCACCTGCTCTACTTAAAAAGTCTCTAGTGCCCCTCCCATGTAACCCACTCATTCATTAATCCATTAATCCATTAGGATTAATCCATTCATGAGGGTAGAGCCCCCACAATCCAATCACCTCCCAAAGGTCCCACCTTTCAAATACCATAGTCAAATTTCCCTTTCTCTTAACACTGCTACAATGGGGGTCAAGCTTGCATTACATTTGCACATACACAACATTATCATTTGAAATATTAAGGAAATTATAAATCTATATTTGAGGTGTATGATTTTAAAAATTCACACTTCCACTGATATTAGAGCAAAGTACCTAGGAGAAAATACTATTCTTTAGATATTCTTTGCCTACATACACATTCTTCTGGGACAATGGCTCCTATTAGGCTTTATAATACAACATGGCTCATAAATTAATGTACAGAGTTTCTGTATATACTGGAGCTAGTGAGTGGTTATATATGCCTTTTCATAAGTTATCTCAGACAGTATTCTCCCATCCATGAGCACCTTATATTACCACAGGTAAAATGTTCTAATCTAAATTGGGGCCACTCCTCCCCAATTTCCTTTTTCTTCTTCCCACCAATCCTTGAATCAATTTACAAAAAAATCAGCAGCTGTATTTCTTTTCTTCGTAGACCTTAGTTTTCTAGAAAACCAGTCTTTTTCTTAAGGAAGGTGAATGTTTTCCCATAAAAAGGCATATTCTGTTCCCCAACTTTTCACTAAGTGCTTCATCCTATGTATTCCCTTGACACCCTACTTAGATCCATCACTGGGACATGCAATGGAAACCACAAAACAAGAAGAAAACATACCTAATTTCCAGAAATATTATTTCTGCAGATAAAAAAGAAATACTTGGCAGTAGGGTTTTCATTTGATTTTGTTTTTATTTAAAAATCATTGTAAAGTACAGAGAAAAGGATAAAGAAAATATTAAGTTTTACTTCTATCCTTTCCCCTCCTTTTGTCTATTTAAATTGTGACCTTTATAAACAATTTCTTTATAAAATAAGTCAAACATTTTTTTTCCATTCATGATATGGCCTGTTTCATTATAAGTACTTGGAATTCACTTCTATTGATTTAGTATAAAACTCATATAATTAGAGAATATATAAAAATATCATTAATATTCAGCCTTATAAATTTATTTTCAACTTATTTAAAGCTAAGCCATAAAACTGATTAAATGTTTATAATAAATAAGTACCAAAAATTTCCAAAATAGATATCAACAAATTTTTGCATAAAGACTTCCCAGCAGCATATTTATTTTTAAGAAATTACCCTTTTCACACTTTTCCCCCTCTAAAATACCATTTTAATAAGACCACCACACCCTACTCAAAATAGTTCTAGTGTAGCCCTCAGAGAATACTGCACAATCTAAGCAGTAAAGCTGATAGACATGAAGGTAGATTAGCAATTAGGTCATGAAAAACAGGCAGCATAAAATAGCTATTGCTAATCTGCATGAGAGGCATTTACCCAATTAAGTAGATGGAATGTTATTATGAACATAGTATTCCAATGATGGTCTTCCAAATTAAGAAGGATGGGGCAAATGAAAGGCACACTGGGGGATTTGGGAACTTTATGCATTAATTCTGAAGTATACAATGCAGAACACTGCAATGAAGTTAAGAAAATTAATTGAAACATTCATTGCATATAGCCATTAGAGACTACATTAAAAAATACATGATAGTTTCTGACAATGTTAACAGTAAACATGACTGTTCTTTAGCATTCTAAATGTTAATACTATTACCTTTTCTAAATACACCACTGGTATAAAAAACGAGTGATAATAGTATTATTACATACAGTTTAGTATGAGAATTGTCTTTAATATGCTTTCTGGTATTTACATATTCCATTCTGAGTTTCAATAACTGATAAACTAGTGATGAATTTTCAAGCATTTTAGAAGACTATATATTACACACCTTTGTGGAAGAACAGAAAGTTTTCAGATATTTATATATTTTAAATTTTGTCCTTTTAATTAGACAATAATAACAAATTAAGAAGAGAGAATTATATCTATTTGAGAAATGTTATCAAACTTTTAGGCAGAACAAAAATCTTTAAATAGTTTTGGAAAAATGGTTATAAACTTCAAAAGGAGCTTTTTCATTTTGATAAATACTTCATGTTTAACCCCTATTTTCAAAAAGGTAGTGTGTAGGCTTAATCCATGACTATTAGGGAATTCTAACACGTATGCCAAAATTGTAACAGTTAAGTGATTTGTTACAAAAACTACATAAAAATGATAAGCTGTGTCTATGAGATCAATGAAACGTAGAGAGTATTCATTCCCATTACCTCTATAGGTAGGTTTTGGGTTAGTTCGATATTTTTTCTTTTCTTATAAATGTGATTTTTTTTTTTTCCTCTTGACTAATCTGAAAAGGCTTAGAACATGTTTATGTACTAATTTTACTTAAAAATAACAATTATATAAAAATTACATGTAAAGTTTCATTTGCCCACTCCTACTTCCCAACACACACTAACTCTTCCCAACATCCTAACTCTTCCCTCTTAACCAATAATATAGTTGATTGAAATATTACTTTTTATTTGTAATTGTTGAAACTTTTGAATTATAAGCTCCTTGAGATAGTGTTCTATACAAATAGGTGCTTTGTTGACATTCAATATTCATGGAATTACATCAATTCATATAAACATCCATTCATCCATTTACTGGACATTTATTATGTGCCAGAAAACTGATGCTGCAGATACAAATATGACAAAGAAACAGTCCCTGTCCTAAAGCTACCCAGACACCAAAGGATTGTGGTAGACAGAAAAATGACCCCCTAAAAATGACCATGCCCTAATCCCCAGAACCTCATAGCATAGCAATGAACAAAACAGGTAAGGTCAGTAAACAAAATTAATAAATAAATTAATGTTATATAGTATTAAATGTTCTGAATAAAAATAAAACAATGTAAAGAGGCAGAATGTATATGTGTGGGAAAGATGTACATAAGGCAAAATTAGACAAAAGGACTGGGAAAATGCCTTCTTTAATAGTATATTCAACTTTTCTTAAAATCAGCAAAAACTATCTTTAGTGTTCAATGGAAGATTACTTTTCAACATACTGATAATTTATTCAAGGTTGTCTGTATTATGTAACAATACTGCAAATGAAACAGACTTTCAAAACAAAAATCATTGGTATTTTCAAGTTTTCCAGTTACTACTGTTATACACCAAGGTGAGTGATCAGTTGGTTAAACTTGGCACTACATATCAATTATAATTGCTAAAGTATATTAAGACTTTGCAAATTTTGGATGTCCTTAGACTTGAGGAGTTATCATAGACCCCATGTTGATTTTATCCCTCCTTCTGGTATTGTTCTTTGGGTGGCCCAATAATACTACCATAGTATTTTCCACATAAAATATATTAGGTAAAAGTGACTATATTCGGGAATGGTTAAAAAAAATAATAATAATAACTGCTGAATTTAAGGCAACATTCAAAATTTTAAAAGTTTTATATGACATTGTTAACACAGCAAGACAATGTTTAAAACTCACTTTGAAGGGTTTCAAGTTCAGTTCTAGTCAATGCATCTTCCTTTTCCTTCAATCTTGTTTCTTTATATTTAGCATAAAACTGCCCAGCATCCTTAAAACAGAAATTATAAATAAATTAACATAAAAATCAGTTTGATTTGACAGTATTTTCCATATAACTTCATTCAAAGAAGCATATTCATTTTACAAGCAGACTTTTTGTTTATGTTTTCAAATTTTATGATGAACAGGAGAAACTGAATAAACATTTCACTATGATTTTCCTGTCCTGGAGAGCTAAGGCCAGAAACTGCGTAAGTAAAAATTAAAGTAAACTCTCTTCTCTCAAATATGAAAAGGAAGTATCCTCTTCCTGTTTTCTTCCACTGTATGATATTTTCTCAATATTGTACTATTGCATGGACAGAAAGCAGAAAAACTGAGTTATTTGGAATATGCTAAACTAAATTATTTGGCACAGTAAATCGTGTTACTGTGACCAACAAAGTACTAATGCAATTTTCCTTAACTCCAATAGGTCCCTTAACTCCCATAGATTTTCAAAACCATAATATGCAAATCTGAGTACAAAACTTATATGAACATATAGATATAAATGAAAGTTGTCATTCCTCCTTCTACCACCCTTAATGCCAGTATAAAACAGTTGTCATGGAGGGTTGAAGACTGAGGACTGAGGACACTTACTGTATACAAACACTTAAGTGTCAAGATACAGTGGCTAAAGTCTCAATGAGTGGCACACAGGTAAGACTTTAAGCAAGGTACCAAAAAAAGACTAGTCCTTAAATAATCACAGGCATGAAAATAAACAGGTTGATGCTCTAAGGCATATTGTGATCTTGACAATAAAAAAAAGCAAAACAGATTTCTTTCCCATATTCCTTGACTCAAACTTCATATATTCTATAGCAATACCACCTGTAGCTGCCAGGCCACACTGTGATTCCCATATCTTTGCATTTGTTTTGCCTGCTAGCTGGAATATTTTGCTTCTCTGCCCTTATTCTAATGAACTTCTATTCATCCTTGAAAACCCTGTTCAACACCATCTCCTTTGCAAGAGTAATTCTCTTCTGTATACTACTTCTGTACTTAAACTTCTCTCTGATTGCTTATATAATGCTATATTCTCTCCTAGAAGATGAGAAATTTGAGATAGGGATACTTATATGCCCACAGCTAAGTATCTGACATAAAGCAGGCATTCAAGAAGTGTTTACTGAACTATATTAGATTGAATTTTCAGAGAAACCTTATAAAGAAATGGATGAAAGGGCCTGATGACTGCCTGATGTGGCATAAGAAAAAAAGGGGTAACTTTCTCTCTCTAGGGTAGCATTGGCAGACTGTAAGATTCCTGCAGCGGATAAATCATAGGTCCATCTGAGAAGGTTTTATTTCTACGGGAAATAAAGGGAAAAAAATCAATCTTTGACACTACTCTGATTCAGATGTAAATACATGAACACTTATACCAGAGAATGGAAATATGTCTTTTCATCTATGACTGTGTTCAAGCTTTCTCCTGGGGTCTATTTCTCTGAGAGTTATATGAAAACTCTTCCACTCATAAGAATTAGGGAAATAATACAGTATTCCTAAAAGCAATGAATCATTATAATAAAGATGTATCTCTAATTCTTTCCAATCCCATTTATTTCTACTAGAGGGATTCCCACAAACCCCAGGCTAGCTAAACAATGGTATAATTTGAAGAGCTCAGATGGTCATGCACCCAACTTACTCATCCTCCCATGCCCATATATACAGGGTTTAGGGTTAAAGTTTTATGGCCCCTTAACACTTCGCCTGCCCCCCCCTTAAAAAAATCTGAACCCTGGAGGAGTATTATTTCATATAAAGCCATATCTGTGGAGTATACATAAAGCAAATGTATTTCACAGGGCCTGGTTTTCCAAAAACCTTGCAGTTTCTGGTTTGGCCTAGCTTCTTAAAAGTACATATAAAATGATGACCTTTCAGGGGACAGGAAACTTTCCCCAGGCTAGTCTCTGTTGTAAGATAAAGAACTGTAATACAGCAAGGTTGCTGGCTCAAAGGACAGACAGGTTACTGATTGATATGTAAAGATACTGGGAAACTGCTATAAGAGAATGTTTGCTAAGATCAAGCTTTTGTTGGTGGATCGACTTAACTTCTTGAAAATTGGATTATAGAATGTCACCTTACTTGTTTTACTGAATGTTACCAGCTTCTATTGTTAAACTTGTTAAACTATACTTAGCAAAAACCCCACCTATGCTCTCTTCCTGTAACTTCCTGGTCTGGAGAATAAATGTGGGAAGAGAATCCCAATTCATGGTTAATTTCCCAAATGGAAGGAATGCCTCTATCTTGAGGATTCTAGGAGATTAACCCCTTTTCAGGGCTTCTCACTGCTCAGAAGGGATGGGCTTTGAGTAATCTTTGGCAGCTCAGTCACCCAGGGGAAAAGGGGTGACAAATCTATGGGAGGCAAAGCAACACATATCAGTCATTTACACCTGGGTGTGAATGAATGAATGAGCTTATTAGTTTCTTTCCACAGAGTAGGTTTTAATAGTAGGGAAGAAAAGGTCAGGTAGGCATTGGCTCCTTGAGGCAAGTAGGAAATATGGTGCCATGCAAGAAAAGAAGGGCACAGATTAGTTATTTACAAGAGATAAAAGAAGGTAGGTTGAAATCAGTCATCATAGTATAGTACAGTGAGATACAATATAGTGATTAAGAAGACAGATTTTAGAGCCAGACTACCTGTATTAAGACTTCAGCTCTGCTATCTTATCAGCTATGTGACATTCAGCAATTCACCTCTCTATGGGTGAGTTTTCTCATCCCTAAAATGAGGATAATTAAAGTACCTAACTCATAGAGCTGTTGTGAAGATTACATGGGTTAATACTTGGTAAACACTTAGAATGACATCTTGCACATAGTTGGGCCTTATATGTGTTAGCTATTTTTATTATTACTTCATCATTTTGACAAGAATCTTGTTCTCCACCACAAAGTAGGGGTGAGTTTTCAATGCTTCATACTTCACCTGCCAAATCATATATCTTCTTGTGTATGACTTCTCTTTATTTGCATTCTCCTCATCTCAATCAAAGACCCTTTGCTGGGTAACAGCAGCCTCTTTCTAGTAGTCCAGCCAAATTTGAACATCTCTCTGCTAATATTTCTTCTTTCTGCTACAGCACATAAATCCACTAAAAATTTCTCTCTGAAATAGCCATCTGACCCAAAACCACACTTATCTGAGGATTTTATGTACCTGATCACCATAACTTACTCCATGTAATCCAAGCGTTTGAATACATTCCTAGTCTCACTCACTGTTCTAAGCAAAGAATCCTACCTTCCTTTTGCTCCATTTCTAAGCAGTTATTTAAATATTCCTCATGCTTTTTTTTCCTTCACATCTTACTTGTACTTTCAAATTATAACTATGATATGCCCACTCCAGGAAGCATTACTTCCTTAATAAACCTATGATCTCAAAAAATTCTACTGTACTAAATAACTCCACATTGTTCCAACCTTTCTTGTGTACAGTTTAGGGTACCATACTTTAAGATGCACTGACAAACAGAAAGAATTTAAAAGGAAAGTGATCAGATGGTGAGGCAGCTTGAAACTATATCTTATACAGAATTGGAGATGAGAAGATTAGGAACAACCTGATAACTACTATAGAATATCTTAAGGGTCATTACAGGAAAGAATGACATAAATTACAATATATGGTTCCAGGGATGTAAGTTTTGATTTTGGATACATATTAGAAAGATCTTTCTAATAACTAAAATTACCTGAAGATGAAATAGACTTGATTCTAGAGATAATATTCAGGAAAAAACAGATGACTATTCTTTAAGGTATGTTCTAGAGGGGATTCATGCATTCAAAAGGGATTGAACAAGATCAGTTGTTTTCAACCTTTTTTCCCCTCCCATTCTTCATGAGGGGCTAATTCAAATGAATAAAATTGTTTAGTAGAAAAATAAACGCAAAAACTCATTTTGAGTCCAGAGTAAATCCCAGTTTACCTACATTGGAAGTTACAGATTTCCTGTGAATATAAACTTTTTATCCATCCTCATAGCACTACTATACTGCCTGGCACATTACAGAAGCTTAATAAATACTGAATGGATGAATGAATGCTTACTTTAATTGATTAGGGCTCTGAATTGCCTAGGCTTAGCTCCATAATAATGTATTAATAACTATGGAGTTTATATTCTTCCAGATACAAAGAGTTCCTATTCTCAAGGAGTGTATAATCCTATGGATAGAACCATAAGCAAAAGTTTTTACTCTAGAAGCAACTCTCTTAGTACTTAACAAAATTTCTTAAAGAGCTCAAAGCTGGCCTGCACAGACACCAAATAGAGGACTGATTTCACATTTAAAACTATGGCTAACTTCGCAGCTGTGCCCTTCGGATGAAGTTGCTTGGAGGCAGCAGGGGAGAAGAGGGCCTTGGTGGCTCCCAGGCCAGCAAGACCAATAATAGGGTTCCCGTGGATCCACATAGGAGTGAGGAACCACAACAACTGAAAAAAAGGAGCCACTCAGAGGCTGGAGAGTCAGAGCAAGGGACTGATGTACAGCCCGTCCCATGGGAAGTGTTTGGAGCACGGGTGGTGGGGGAGACGGGCCCACTAAGGGAACACTGGGGCACAGCAAGGATAGCTGATCTGCCCCCAGTCAGTGTAGGACCACTCAGAGGAGACTGGTCAGGAATATAGAGTTGCATGGGGTGCAGTTTTATGAAAAGACTCAGGCCAAGACCAGAGTTTCCACACCACCCAGGAGTACTAGACCTCATGAGAGTCAGAAGTACCTATAAAGTCAACCATAAAATCTGAGCTGCACAAAAAGCCTTCCCTAGGGAATCAGCAACAAAGCAGCAATTTAGCTAACCCACAGAGCTCAAGTACTGGTTCCCACAGGAAGTTCTCCCATTTTAGAGTTAAGCAAAGGACAACATATTAGTTACAGCGTGGAGTTTAAATGGTGGGAACAGCAAATAATCCAACACAGAACTGAAAGAAAAAAAAAAGTACCCACAACAGAGACAAA